CTTTCTTATCCAGTACGATCTGGGTTCTTTAGCTTTTTCTACAATAACAGCTTTATACCATACTTTATCAACACTACTCTTAACAACTACATTATCCCCCTTTTATAAGTTGTTGGTTTACGTTTACTATGTTTATCATACTGAAATTTTGTTTTTTGTTGTTGGTCCGATAACAGTTTATAAATCTCATTCTGAATTTTAGGTTGTAATTGTTCACTATTTACTGGTATTTCTGTTCTCAAAGATCTACTATTTAATATTTGTGATGGAGATGCACTTAATGAAATAATAGCAGTATTATTATATTCTAAAACTAACTCACGATAATCAGAGTTTTCTGTAAAACTTTTTTTTAAAATTTGTTTACAAATTCCTACAGCCTTTTCAGCAAGGCCATTACTTTGGTGGTAATGAGGTGAACATGTCAGGACTGTAATTTGTTTATTATCGTAATATTTTTTACACTTAAATGATATAAATGGTAAATTATCTGCAATTAAAAATTGAGGATAGCCAAATCTGGAAAAAACATCTGGCATTGCATCTATTATGGCTTCAGATGTTTTATTATTTAATGATAGCATCTCTATCCAATGGGAAAAATAATCTATTAGAATTAAGTAAGATTTACCACCAAATTCCAAAATATCAGCCGCAATTTTATTAAATCTCAATTTTGGTATTGAATGTGCTAACATTGGCTCTCTATAATTATTTGGCATGAATTTTTCACAAATTCTACATTTTTTTATAAACTGGACAATATCATCCCTAAGGTTTGGCCAAAAAAATAAAGATCTTGCTTTATTAACAGTTTTACTAGTTCCTATATGACCTTTATGTAACAGAGTAATCATTTCCTGTTTTAGAGATTTTGGTACAATTATTTTATTTTCAACAAAAACAATTCCTGCTTCAACATATATATCATTTTTAATACTGTAATATGGCTTTATATACTCTGGAATCTTGTTTTCTTTAGGCCAGCCTTTATAATAAAAATCAACAATTGTAGCCAAAACTTTATCTTTAGAGGTTTCTTCTCTGAACTGATATATTTTTTTATCTGTCATTGGTAAGTATAGTGAGACTGAATGAACCATATCAAACATCTCTAAATCAAGGGTTTGTGCCTTTAAACTAGCTCTAGAAAGCATATCTGCAAATTGAATATGCTTTCCTGGAACATAATAAATATTTAATATGTACTTTAATAATTTTAGCCTTAAACGCTGCAACCTTACTGATCCAATTTTGCATATTGGTTTCTGCATAATTGAAATTATTGGTTTATGATCTGTTTGGACATCAACATCACACTGGTAAATAAAGTTATGAAATTTTTGTGTACCATAAAAAATGGCTAATAACTCTTTCTCTGTCTGGCTGTAATTTATTTCATGTTCATTCATAGACCTAGATGAACATGCAACTAATTTCAACATACCATCATAGTTTTGAAACATACAACACCCAATTCCATTTTTGGATGCATCACATTGCAAAACTATCTTTTTATTTGGATCAAATGGTACCAGAGCTGGAGACATTGAAATTATTTTCTTTAACTTATCAAAACATTCCTGGTGTTTAGGCAACCATTGCCATTCTACATTGTTTTTTAAAAGTTCACATAAAATTTGCATGTGCTCAGCCATATTTTTAACATAACGTCTAATATAGTTAAAGGAACCTATTATTCTTTGTAACTCTAATTTACTTTTTGGAGTTTCTAATTTACATAAAGCATCTGTCCTCTCAGGATCTACTTTCATTCCTAAATGAGAAAAAATTTGTCCCATAAACTTTACTTCTTTTTTGCTAAATTGAATTTTCTCTTTATTAAATCTAGCACCCACCTCTTTTGCTCTATTTATCACCTCTTTGACCGCTTGATCATGTTCATCTTGAGACGCCCCTGCTATGATCATATCATCATGACAAACTACAATGTTTTTAATATCACCAAAATGCTTTTCAACTGCCTCTTGAAAAAGGTCTTGAGAATTTGATAACCCAAAAGGTAAAACTAAAAACCTGTAAGTTCCATAGTGTGTAGAGAAACAACATTTCCATGAAGAATTTTCATCAATTGAAAGTTGGTGATAACTTTCAGATAAATCAAAAACAGAATATACATTTTTGTTTAATAATTTTGAACATATTTCCTCAATGGACTCCCCAACTCTAGGTTTGCGAACTATATGTTTATTCAGATCTGAGGGATCTAAACATATTCTTAATTTACCATTACTCTTTTCGACTATCACCATTCTATTAATACTTGCCCTGGGGTCTATGTTTTCTACCTTAACAATTGCTTTTCTTTGGACTAATCTATCTAGCTCAGTTTTAAGTGAATTTCTAATTTTTATTGGACACTTGGTAGGTGGATAGCAAACTGGTTCAAGTTTATCATTTGTTGTAATTTCATATGTGCTAGGAAATTTGCCTGACCCTGTGAAAACTTCAAAATTTTCATTGATAAATTTATCTGTTAAATCAGACCGGCCTATCTTATTTATTTTTATAGAATCAATACGTTTTACCAAACTTAAATTTAAACATGTTTGTCCACATATCAGAACCTGACTTGCACCATCCACAATGACAAAATCTTCAAAAATATTCTTACCCTTACATTTTACATTTAAATTTACTACACCTATAGGATGAGACACATTTCCATCAAATGCCTTTAACACCTAATAACATTTACATCTGCCCCTGTGTCTAAATTAGCTTTCAATTTATAATTTTCAACCTCTATATACTTTTCCCAAGTGTCTATCAAATCAACATTACATACCTTTTTCCTGCTGTTAACATTTCTTACAAAAAATTCATTAGAAGAGGTTGACTCACAATCATCTTTTTCAGTACTTTTAATATTTTTGACCTTGCAGGCAACTGCATAATGGTTTTTTAGTCCACACTTGTTACACTTCTTGCCATAAGCTGGGCATTCCCTCGGACCATGCTTTTTTGCACACCTTCTGCATAAAAAAAACTTCTTCTTCAACTTCTTTCTCTTCATTCCAAGGTTTCTTCTTTATATCATATTTCTTTTTCTCTATCTTCTGTGTATGATTAATATTTCCTGTGTTATATTGAAACTGTAAATTTTGAGATCTACTTTGCTCACTTGTTCTGCAGAATTCTATAGCTTTATTTAAACTTAATTTGTCTATTCGCAGGAGGGCTTCTCGTGTGGTCGGATCCCTAATTCCCATAACAATTTTGTCTCTTAATGCCTTGTCTTCACATGACTCATCGGGATCTAGGGCATTGTAATTGCAACTTCTAACCAAATGTCTACACTCTGTCAAAAAATGTTCAAATGTCTCCCCATCTTCTTGTACTCGTTTTATAAAGTTGTACCTCTCAAAGCATTCGTTAACTCTTGGGTTCACATACTTATCTAACAGCTGCATTGTGAATTCATACTTATTTAGTTCTTAATCAGGGATAACAAAAGTAGCCATAATCCGTGCTGATTCATGGCCAATAATATTTCGCAGGATGGATAATTTCACCTGATCTACAGCGTCGTGTTGTCCTGTTGCTACTAAATAATCTTCGAATGAAATTTTCCAAAATTTCCATTCAGAAGCGGCACTCTGACCCTGGAGGTCGAAATCTTGGGGTAACTTAACATAACCTATTCCATTGACCATGCTTGCCATTTTGGGAACACTTAAATTTTTCTTTTTAATAAACTTAGCACTTAACTTTATCCTTGGACACGTAGATTCCATAAAATGACTGCACCATGTTTAAAGTATGTTAATAAGGTCTCAATTAAACTACTGTATTGGCTGAACATATATTAATAATATTACAACATGATCATGTCGTCCATTGTACCCGTTGGGAAGTGGTGTTGACTTGACATTGACATAGTTACCAGGTTTACGTTAAGCCTATCTTACATTAATGTCAAACAGTAATGACATATTATAGTATTGATTTATGTGATTCACACTGGGTTAAATGACCCCTTAAAAATTTGCCTGGGCTTGTAGTCTAATACTTATAGTTAAATTTGGTAAAAAAATTAATCTGGTTCGATAATTATGTTGACATTTCTACAAATATTTCCAGTTTTCAACACTTTAAGTGCCATATGAAACCAGCATGGACTTACACTTTTACGGGATTGTGAGGCCGCATAAAGCCACTCTGGTCTCGCGACAACCTGTGTACAATGTTTTGCGTGGTGCTTCGTTGATTTCTCAAATTCTATTTAAACGTATAGGCATTTGAAAATGCGTGGCATGTAGAGCCCAAATTGGCCTTCGTATTGTGAGGTCAGTGTGACACAATGTGTATACAATGTTATGTGTACGTGTTATGCTTCTTCAGAAGGATGATCTTCTGCTTCTGACATTACTGCCTATCATAATCAGTTCAGATACTGCTTTCTCGTACGACATGCTCTGGCCAAAAAATTATAACGGAAGTTATTGTGAAATTCGAAATATAAGAATTGATCGGCAATCGACCAGATAATCATAAAACCTTTCTCCGCATCACCCAAACTTGCTTATACATCGCTTGAATGTGCATCACTTGATTTGTCTTGTGGTGGGAATATCGTAGATTCACGTACCCGCTTTGCACTTTCAAGTTTTTCTCCTGGCCGTGTGAGACCAACGTGTCACCATGAAAAACACTCAAATATACCAACTTTTAAGTGCCAAACCAAAACAACATATTTTAGGCAAATATTCATGTTATGTATACATTTTTAGATGCATTTATGACAAAAAAGTGAAAGGACGTGTGGGATCGTTTTTTTTTTTGTGTGTATGGTGGCGCTTACCGTGTTAAATCACCGTTCAAAAGTATTTGAATCAATTCCTTCGTAAGATATTGATCTTTACTTTTCCTAATTTTAAATATAAATAAGTTACAAGTAATACTTTTATATCTAAAGTAAAGATATCAATAAATAAAAATTTAATTATTCATTACTTTTCCGTTTTTATAATTTTTAGATCCAGCATACTTTCCAGGAAGATGTGCAAATATAATTTGCCACGGAACTTCCATAGGAAAGATTGGCGTATTGCATCCTGATGTGTTAACCAAATTTGAACTTACAAATCCATGTTCGGCTTTAGAAATAAATATTCAATCATTTGTTTAATTTTGCATGGTTGAACTAAAAATCCATACTCTGTTAAATTATTTTTTAAATAAAACATTTTTAATCGAGTATTAGACGTTGTTAAATAATCAAAATTTTGTTTTATTTACATTCAAGGCGAGTCAATGTATCTGCTTATTAGTGCCACTCGGTATTACAAAAAGATTTATAGTACATTAATTACATTAGTTTTTATATTGTATTGTACAGTCCTAGAAGGTTTAGTTTGGAAATATGACTCATAAATCGACGATGCGTAGTGGTTCTTGTTTACTAGTGTTACCATAGAAACGGCTAGTTTGCTGTTTGCCAGTGTCGTAGTTGTGTATCGCAGAGAGTATTTGACTTGTTGATTTGATCGTGTGGGATATTTTATTATAGATTAGTGCTTAATATAATATTGGTAGTAGTAATTAGTGATTTATTACGTTATTTAGTGTATTTATAGTGTTTTTTTTTGCATAGACTTTTAGTCATTCAGCCAGACTCAACATGGTAAAAAAATAGTTGTCTGAGTTTATATTAATAAATATATAAAACAAAGAACAGGTAAACAGGGTCACTCTCTTCTCGCCTAGGGGCCCATCAAGGCATTTTTTAAGACATACAACACTAGGCCACGGTAAGAGGGGAATTTGACAATTGGGTTAGAAACAAAGGCTACGTTATTAACTAATGCATAATTATTTACATGGTTATTTTACTATCCTTTAAAAACATAACTAAGGAATCATACACTGCTCTCGAGTCTAGTGATAATAAGTACTGAAGGTTCCAAGGGGCTAATATATTTTATTTATGTAAGTTATTTATTAATCTGGCTGAAATTATAGTATTTCTGGGGCAACTGAAAAATATATGATCTAGGTTTCCTTCTTCTGTACAAAATTCACATCGATCATTATCTAAAACCTTGAGTTTAAATAAAGGTTTGGGGTAACAAGCATGTCCAAATCTAAGTCTAATGATCGTGGTAACATATTTTCTAGGTACATTAAAAGACTTTATACCAAGGTGTTTTAGGAATATCTGTTTGAAGAGAAGTGTATCTATTTGGGCTAACAATGGAATATTCCTTCCATATATTATCCCACCTTTGGCATAATCTTAATTTTAAGGAAGCCAGAAAGTCGCAAGCCGTGATTTTATACGAAGTTTCTCTACCAGATAAAATACTTTCCTTTGCTAAGTGGTCCACATGTTCATTATTTTCCAAACGTATATGTGCTTTAATCCAAACAAAGACCACATTTTTGCCCCTTGTTACTAACTTTTGTTTGATATCCTTAATTTTGTAAATATAAGGGCAACTGTACGTATTTGGCAATTCCGGTTTCCCAATAGAGGTCAAAACTGATAAAGAATCTGATAATATCACTATATGATCCGAGCTACTTTCTGTTGCATAAAGTAAGGCCTCATATATTGCAAGAGCTTCCGCTGTAAAAATAGAGGTCTGGGAGTTTAACTTAAATGTGTGTTCTATTCGTTCCAACGAGACAAAAAAAGCGCATCCAGTGCCGTTTGATGATTGGGAAGCATCGGTATATATAACGACGGAGTTTTTGAATTCTGATAATATTGAGTGAATAATCCGTCTGTTTATGTGTATATTGTCACTATATTTTGGTACCATGATATCTGTATTTGAGCAATATGTTGCATATGAAATGTTTTGAAGTGTATACGTAGCTTTATCTATCTCTTTTAATGCTTCCATATTATGTTGCAGAGCTTCGCAGACTAAAGGCGATTTCTATTTTTCCCAGTATTTAGTAGACAAATCATAGCAATTCAGAGTAAAGATCTTTGTGTATAAGGATTGATTTTTTATTTACCAGCAATTTTTCGGACAAGAAGTTTCGTCTGATATATAAAGGTGGTTCCAAGGCTTCCAAATACAAGGGTTGAATTGGTGTGGACTTCATAGCACCTAAACATGTACGTAAAGCTGAATTGTGTATTACGTTAATTTTATTTAGCAATACATTACTGGCTGATCCATAAAATATGCTTCCGTAATCAAAAATGGAGCGGATATACGCTCTGTAGAATAATAAATTTACATCTACATCAGCACCCCACCACGTTTTATTAATCGATTTAAGGAAATTTATTCCCTTGTTGTATTTGTTTAACATATCCTCAATATGATCCTTCCAAGTCAAATGTTTGTCAAGTGTCATCCCTAAATATTTGACCTTACCTTTTAGTGGATATTGATGCTCTCCTAATTTAATTATTTGAGCGTTAGGTTTATAATGTCTAGTAAAAATGCAAACTTGAGATTTATTGCCAGATAATTCAAAATTGTTTTTATGGAGCCATTTTTGAAGTAGCTGATAGATACTATCCAAGTTTTTAATTGCTTTTTCATATTCTTTGTGTTCTGTGTAAATTCAGAAATCATCTGCGTATTGTATGAGGTTGAAGGGTATGTTATTTATTTTAATATTGTACAAGTCCGCTACGTACATATTAAACAGGATAGGGCTCAATACAGAACCCTGAGGTAATCCTTTGTTTACGATTCTGGGACCTATGAGCATTTGTTCTTTTCTTAAATAAACTAATCTGTTTGAGTATAGATTAACAACACTAGCGGCAAATTGTGCTGGAATTTGAAATATTCTTGTCATTTTTTCTTTAAGTGCTATTAGACACACGGAGTCATAAGCACCTTCTATATCAAGAAATAATGCTGGTAAGTAATTGTTTCGGGAATAATTGTTTTGAATGTCTACAACTAGGGTAGCCAATGCATTCAAAGTACCAAAACCTTTCCTAAATCCGTATTGTTCTTTGGGTAGAAGGTTCTGCTCTAGTAACCACCATTCTAACCTAGCCTTAATTATCCTCTCTAGAGTTTTTTTTACACAAGATAATAAAGATATGGGTCTGTAAGCTTCAACTAATTTTAGATTTTTCCCAGGTTTGGGTATAGGAATGACAATAATATGTTTGAAGGCTGAAATGTTAGAACCTTCTCTAATTATCTGATTAAAAATATTTAGAAGTAACTCTTTTGCATTATTTGGTAAATTCAATAGCATACTTGATTTCATCAAACATATTTGATTTCATCATAACCAGGAGAAGTGTTGGGACGATCACTAAGGGCACAGTCCAATTCTAGCATTGTAAATGGTTTTAAGAGAAAATGATTATGATTCGGATTGAATAACATCAAATCTTCGTGATTGTTCACATATGGTGGTGCAATTTTGTCAAAAAACTCTTCTGTCCACGAATCTTTTAGTGGTAATGGAGCATTGACCATTTTCCTGTTCATCCTTTTCGCTTGATTCCAAATCGAGGTAGGCGACGTTTGTTTATTTAGCACCAATTTTTAATAACATTTTCAACTGATGGATCTTGCTTGTATTTTATTAATGCATTTTTCCTTTCTGCAACAATTAGATCACATTCTGCATCCCACCACGGTGAAGGAGTCCGTTTTTTACACTTAAAGGGTTTATATTGGCAAATACATTGTGTAGAAGCTTTATTGATACAGTCTAATAAAATATTATATTTTTCTTCAGCATTTGGGGATATAGGTCGACTTTCATTTAACATATTCTCGATTATTTCAGCGTACATATCCCAATTGGCTTTCTTAATATTCCATTTACTTTTGGGGTATATGGTCTCATTAATAGCTCTTGAGTATTCGAGTTCTATTTTTACAACAAAGTGATTTGATCCAAGTGTATCAGAATCTACAGTTAAAAATGTCTTAGCAAAAATGGAAGGGGAACAAACCGTAATATCAATCATAGAATCTGAATGTCCTGGATTTCCTTGACAAGTAGGTTGACCGTTATTCATCACAATAAAATCAAGATCCTGTAGGGTCTCTACCATTTGATCGCCAATATTATCATTTTTTTATGATCCCCAAAGCGCATTGTGGGCATTCATATCACCCCCAATAATGCAGGGGTGCTTCACTTGGGAAAATAAGTTTGTCTAATCTTCTATTCTGGTTTTGGTTTTTGGACATCTATATACAGAGAGAAAACTCAAGTGAGTAGTATCGTAATTAATTTTAATACCACAGTCAAGCAGCTCTTTATTGGAAGTTTTTATTTAATTTTAATATTTCAAAACGGATACCCGTTTTTACCAAAATAGCGACACCAGCAAAACCGTCTGCACGGTCTTGACGAACAATATTATAACCTTTAAAACTATATATACAACATTATTTTTGAACCAGGTTTCACTTAAAAGAACTATATCAACATCTTCTTTAGTAAGAAAATTGAGTAGGCTGTTTTTATTTGCAACAGCTGATCTAGCGTTCCATTGCATAATTTTAAGTTTAGTGTTTAAGGCCATAAATTTAAGTACTTTTAAAAATATCCTCGAAAACAGTATGCAAACCCTTAGCTGACAAATTATTATCCAGTGTTTTTACATCTTCAACTGGTTTGACATTTTTTATAAATTCAGAAAAAAAATTGACTAACGAAATAACTATCTTGTTTTTTTCACCATCTATTGAACTATTAGGTTTATTGGGATTAGGTGGAAGAGGTTGTAACGGACCAAATCTAAAAGGAAAGGTGGTAGAATCTGTAGGGGATTGTGAAACAGGAGTAGACACTTTGCTTTTTTTATGTGCATAATGTTAAGTATTAATCTTACTAGGTCCAGGATGAGTCAAGTTTGTTGATTTTTTCATATACGGTCTTGGAATGGTAGGATGAGATGACGTAATGTCATCAGATACGTTAGGTAGTTTTGGAAAATTTTCTTCAAGATTTGACAATATCGAAAATTTATTGTTACTAACAAATCCGGAAAAAGATGATTCTTTATATCTTTTGGCTTCTAGAAAGGAGATTTTTTGATCTAGCATAATGTTTTTAATTTTTTTTTGTTCCTAATAAACGGGACAACTTTTGGAGATCGAAATATGATCTTTACTTTTACAATGTATACAAAAGTTTTTTTAGTGTCGCATATGTGACTATCATTTTTAATTTTTGCACATCGTATACAAAATTCTTGTGTGCCCTTGCATTGCTTAGAAATGTGACCAAATTTCAGTCACTTGTAGCACTGTATTACCCTGCCTACAAATCTTTCTACTGGCAAATACACAAAATTAACTACGACATAAGTTGGCAAAACATTTCCTTCAAATGTAACTATAATATTTCGTCTGGGGACGTATTCTGTTTTACCGTCTTTATCTACCTTTCTATGCATTCTTTTAATGTCAGTAATTTTAACGAAAGAGTCTTATATGTTTTTTTAAATAATCAGTATCATACCTCGTATCTACACCGTGAATTATTCCCTTGATTTCCAAGAGATGGTTGTTATTTTCCTCCCCCATTTGGGGAGATAAATCACTTATTTTCACAAAAATTCCAAATATTTAACAGATATATTTACAGAAAATTTAAATTATAAATATAAATATTGATTTTTAATCACCGCACAAACTTATCTGCCGCATAATGTGATTTTAAGGATCGTCTGTTTACTGTGAATGCTCACTACGTACTCGTTTTATAGTGTGTTAAGATTAGATATTAATTAGAGGTACTTAGCAATATGGTTTTTTAAAAGATAGGAACAAAAGGGCTGGGATTAAATAGCTAAGCAGAGGCAATAATTTATAATGTTACTACATTTATGGAACAAGAAGCGGCACATTTTGAAGCAACCGAAAACCTGTTAATACCTGTAAGAAAATTGACGTACGTATTGTCAATATTTTATTTTCTTATGTGTGTATGTATAAAAACTGCGAGACACACTTAGGGCCAACATACCAATCAGCCTCAAAAGAAAAGTGTTTGACCAATGCGTATTACCGGTCATGACCTATGGGGCGGAAACTATGACTTTAACCAAGACCACGGCTTCGAAACTGAGAGTGGCACAGAGACGAATGGAACGGTCTATGCTGGGAGTGACGTTGAGGGACCGAATAAGAAACGAAGATCTGCGAAGAAGGACGAGTATTACTGATGTTGTGGAACGCATAGCGGAACTAAAATGGAACTGGGCAGGCCATGTAGCGAGAATGCACGATTCACGATGGACGAGCAAAATTACAAATTGGAGGCCAAGAGCAGACAAACGCAGTAGAGGAAGACCACCTACACGTTGGGCCGACGACATCAGGCGTATCACTAAAAATTGGCAACAAAGAGCACAAAATCGTGAGGAATGGAGGAGTTTAAGGGAGGCCTATGTCCAGCAGTGGACGTGATAAATAGAGGCTGGATGATGATGTATGTATGTGTTCTTGTTTTATATTTGTTGTGGCATCATGTGCGTGCACTATCCTGTAATCTGGCCACTGTTTTAGTTGTGGCATGATACACTCCGATATCACAACAAAATGAATTATATTATTATAAAAACAGTTATACTGCGGATTATTTTGGAAGTTACCGCAAACCTATCGATGACGTTTTGTCGTCTGTTTTCGGTAGTGCTCGCTTAGTTTTAATTTTACGTTATTTTGTGTGTGATGTCACAATCATTGATGTTGCACATATGAATATCACCATTTTGTGGCAACAGCTGTGATATTTTAGAATCAGTCTCCTTTTAGTTGGTTTTAAAAAAAAGTCATCTTTTTTCTTCTACGAATATTTTTAACATTCCGCATATGAATTTTATACCAACGTAACATTCCATAAACGTGTTTGGCACATCGCCGCCTATTGATTGAAATATTGCCGCGTGCCGCAAAGGACCAATAGAAAAGTCCTACGTGTTAAATACATTTCGAGCCCTTCCAGGAAAAACATCGTAACCAACAATTTTTCGAATTTTTGTTTTTTGGTGGAAAATGATCCTAACAACAAGCTTTTTCGTTGACCAAAACATCGTAAGCCAAACGAACACGGTTTTTAATTTAAAAGTAATAAAGTATTTTATCGTTACCAACACAAGTCAATATCAGTGAAAGCCAAAACATCGTAACCATGCGTATAAAAAATCGTTGGGATACTTTTCCATGGTTACGATGTTTTGTGCAAAACCCAGTCGAGTCGCGATGTGACAACTTTTCTTTAAAACTATTCTTATCGGTCACCAAGACTACACAACATTTAGTTATCGGACTCAAGGTTGTCGATCAAGACAATTCGGTGGTTTAAGAGGGACGTGTGCATAGGTGCAATTTACCGTTATCGGTTGGTGAATGGTAACCCCATCAAACACACCCGTACAGTGTATCCTATGCACAGTGTAGATAAACAAGTTTTAGTAGTTTTTGAAAGTTAACAAGTTTTTTTGTGAATTAATTATTTTTTGTTTTTTATTTTAATCAATACATAAATCGGATTACCTACAACGAAATATGTCACGACGAAAGGTATGTACTTAATCTTTTAAGATTTTAAAATTCATAACGTAATCTAAAATAGTCGTTCGTGTTCCTTCTTAACTTAAATTAACTGATAACAAATTGTCTACGAGAAAATAATTCATAGTTATTTCAGGGTGAAAAGGCAAACCGAAGTGCAAGAATGCTGAATATGGTATTGTCTTCAAAAAACGACGAGTATAAAATGGAGGAAGATCCACCAGTTGTATTAAATAAAACCGTTTCACAAAGAAATTTTTTAAGTAACAGTACATATGAACGGGTTTAGCAATAGATTAATAGTAATGCAGATAGCTTTCCAAAAATTACATGACAAAATATCAGCAAACTCATAGATTATTCATCATCTTCATCTTCAGCATCATTGCCGGATGCTATAACTGCATTCAATACAAAACCTTGTTTAAATATTGATGTCGGTCCACTAAGTAGTCATCTGGAAGATTCAGAAATGTCATGGAATCCAAAAATTCAACAAGAAGATAGCTCTGATACCAAGAGCCTTGAAAGTATGCCACTCAATGAAGATATTTTAGTGATAGGGAAAAGAGGAATCCAAAAGCAAAAGTCACTTCCGAAAAAGGTTTCGAGGAGAATGGAAAAATGGACAGGAAAAAATAAAGCAATACAACCTAACCCTTAATCTTACTAGTCTTAATAAAAAATGTGACAATAAATGTGTTAAAAAGTTAAGTGCAGATGAAGAAGATCGAGTTTTGATTTTTGAAAACTATTGGGATATAGCAAGCTCACAAAGGCAAAGAGATTGGATCTTATCCTGTATGGTGGAAACCCCAATTAAACGAAAAAAGGCTGAGTCTATGCGAAGATCAAAAACCATGGAATATTATATTCCATATAACAATAAAAAAGTAAAAGTTTGAAAACAATTTTTAATTAAAACGCTTAATATTTCCCAAATGACGCTACGATATACGAAAGAAAATGCCCTAATCAATAACATGGCTAAACAATACCAAAGGAAAAAAGAAGACCTAAAAATAAATTTCATTCGAATCAAGTCTCTTTGGTTAAGGAATACATTAAGCAAATACAGGCTGTTCCTTCGTATTATTGTAGGAACAAAAGCAATCAATTATATCTTCCATTCGAGTTTGAGAATGTTACAAACTTGTATCGCTTATATAAAAAATATCTCGTTGACCGTGAAAAAGTAACTGAAATTGTATCACTCAGTAAATTTGGAAAAGTATTTCGGCCAGATTTTCATCTTGGTTTTCATTTGCCAAAGAGAGACAAATGTAATCTTTGTGAGAAGATTAAATATCTACCTAGCCTTGAACAAGAGGAAGAAAAGAAGACAGAATCCTACAGGCAACACATTAAAGATAAAGAAAAGTGCCTTGAAGTTTTTTTGTAAGACCAAAATCTTTCAAAAGAAGGATCTGCACTGTGTATAAGCTTTGATCTGGAGAAAGTACTTAATATTCCTCATGGAGAAAGTGTAAATTTATTTTATTGTAGAAAGTACGCATTCTATAATGAAATATTTTATGAGAACGGCTCTGCAAATGTTTATTGTCACTTGTGGGGTGAAATAAATTCAAAATCAACATTAGCAAACTTCGCATTGCCATGATAGATATTGCCATGCAAAGATAGCCCACAAAGCTTTATTTGAAAGTATGGATTTTTTGACAATAGTGAACTTAAAAGTATAAATTTGCAGGAAACCTTAAGATCACGCCGTAATCGTAATAGTAACAATACCGCTCCCAACAGCTCTACAATAATCAACTCAAAATTTGTCAGCTATATACCTAGTTTTTGATTATAACTTTTGTTTAATAAATGTATAATTTTCATAATTGTAATTTTTTTCAATGATTCTCACCAAATAAAACACAATTAAAATAAATCTTAAGCAACGTGAATGCTTTAAATTTGAACACACGAAACATTGTAACCATCTCAACAAAAAGCGTAAGTGATACTTAAGCACAAAAATTTGAAAAACCAAACATCGCAAATAGCAGTACTATTACAAAACTAAAACATACAACATATTTACTTTTGTCATTTGTAAAGCACACTACCAAATAATATAATATAAAATATTTAACTTTCAATACTGATTGGGACGGATATTAATTAAAAAAAACCTGTAAAATTGCACTTTTGCTGGTTACAATGTTTTTCCTGAAAGGGCTCGATATATGGAATGTTTAGATGCCGACTGTATACTTATACTACTATATTTGTAATGATCCCTAAATCTAAATCATCCCAAATTTTGGCATATGCAAATGATGTGGACCTAGTTGCCCGCACAACACGCAAGCTAGAAGAAATGCCACCTTCTCAAATGCCTCAAAATCTATGGGCCTGCAAGTAAATGAGGAGAAAACTAAGATGATGGCATCAACACCCAACAATAGAGAAAGGAACATCGGTCCCCAATTCACGGATGACAACTCTACCTTTGAAGTGGTGGACAATTTCACATACTTAGGCTCCCTGATAACCAAAGAGAATGCCATAACGGAAGAAATCAAACAAAGGATAATAATGGCAAACAGATGCTATTTTGGACTGAGTAGACATATGAGAAGTAGAAACTTAAGCCAAAAAACAAAAATAACTATATACAAAATCCTTATACAGCCAGTGTTGACATATGGAACGGAGACATGGACTATCTCCAAGGCAGACGAAGACCTTATGCTTATATTTGAACGAAGGATCCTAAGAGGAATATTTGGTGGCATCTGTGAAAATGGTGTTTGGAGGAGGAGATACAACTACGAGGTATACCACAGATATAAACAAACATTTGGTGGTAAAGACGTATCTCTTATAAGAATAGGAAGACTAAGATGGGCAGGACATCAAGCAAGATCACAGCAGAACAACCCTCCTGGAAGAATCCTTATGTCACAACCCATGGGAAGTAGAAAAAGGGGTAGGCCAAAACTCAGATGGAAGGATGTTGTAGATGAGAATGGTAGAAAGATAGGCGCAGCAAACTGGCAACGATTGGCAATGGATTGCCAGGACTGCCTGGCGTAATATACTTGGGAAAGTCGAGGCTCTTTCATAGGGCTGTAGCACCATTGATGATGATATTTGTAATGATAATTTCTAGATTCTCTTAATTCTAATTAGAAGTTATTAAAAAATTGCGAAAACAAAATAGTTTCATCAGAACCATATTAATTCGAACTTAGGATAGTTTCATCAGAACCATATTAATTCGAACTTAGGATATTATTCCCACTATTAGGTTATAAATATGTACTTTTCTCACAAAATTGGGCACAAATGTGATTGTTAATAGTTATAATTATTTAAAAAATAATAATAATAACATCACAGAACCAAAATATTTTAAATAATACAAAAACTAATTATAAATAAGATGGATGTCATTTTAACATTTTGAAAACTTGAAATGACTTAGTACCTATTGATCATCATCTTGCATAATGCTGCTGTCTTTGTTTAATATATTCTATCATGGATGGACAATAGGGTTAATTTCATGGTTTCAGGTTCTGTAAGTATAAAATATGAAACACAATTCATGAATACTATCATACATGTGATAAGAACAGGCAGACAGACTATATATCCTTGTATATAAGCAAAGGTGCATATTTAATTAATGTGAAGTCTTTTTTAACAAGTATCTAGATAATTTAACTAATATTAATAACAAATAAAGAAAATCGTAACAAACAATAATTTCTAAAACACACGAATTTCATCTTCTATATTTTATAGTTATACATGTACATATTTATATATTAAATTTATTGAATACATATTTTATATTCCAAAGCTGGTAGTCAAATCGACGACCAAGGATATACAAACATTATTATAGTAAAACATACTGTGATATTTCAAAATGTTATACTACAGTTAATTAACAGCGAACTACTTGACATTTGGAAACTTTTTTAACAATGTATTAAGTTGTTTATGTGACAATTCCTTTTCTCCGGGGATTAGTACACCTTTTGCTTCTTTTTGCTGCTTGATTTTCTTTGTATCTAAATGGTTCTTGTAACATTTTTGGAAAGATTCAATTTCCTTTGAACAGACTGACTGATTAAATTCATTTTCTTTAAAACATGCAAACATTACGGACATTTCATAAATACAACATATATCAGAAGTTTTTCCGCCTTTTCCAGACACAGCATTTCTTAGCTTTAAGGGTAAAATTTCTTTGAATGGTATTGGCTCCTTGGGAATGGGTCTGGCTACAAAAAGGCTACTAAATATTTTCATATTAATCTGAAACGTCTTCTAATCGTAAAAAAAATATTAATTGGAAATAATATTTCTTAAAAAATGTTAATTGATCACTGAAAAATATATTTTATTTAAATACCATAACCAATAATTTTTTAAGGTTAAAATGGTTAAATGTTCAAGACAAATATGTCAATCATTCTTCTTCTTCTTTCGTTTTATGGCCTCCACCTCTTAGGTACCTGGCCAGCTCATGTATATATTTTTATTTCAATTATAGAAGGGAATTCTCCTCACAGAGATTCTAGAAATAACCATATTCCCTTCAACTATTTTGGACAATTTATAGTGGATATTCTAAAATAATTCTATATGTCATTAATGATATAGATTTTCTTGTTCCATCTATTCTCTCCAACTTCAAATCAATTCAAATAAGGCCCGATTGTACATTGCAGGCTTAAGCGATCGCTTAATTGAACCGGCCTAAAATTTGAGCGTGGGTTCAACTTCATGAGGGTTGTTCAATGGCAAGTTTAGTTAAACCAGGCTCATACAAATTTTCATAAGGTTGGCAACGTAACGCATGCGTATTCATTTATAGGTTAAATCTCAATATTCCCGCCATAGAGAAATAACAATTCCTTATATCATGGTCGGAACCTTTGATGTTGGGAGGACAGAAATTCAGAGTGACAGTGGCAATGAACCTACATTTGATTACACGAAGAAAAGTAGTGAGGAAGTCGTTCAAAACTGTAGTAAATGATAGTTACACTGAGAAATGAAGTAATCATTTTTAAGTAATCTGTTTTATAAATGAATTTTATTTTTTCAGTAAAATTTAATATAACTTATATATCAATTCTGAACTGATAATTAAAAAGTTGTTAAGTCAAAAATATCGATTTTTTTTTTAACAAACAAATTAACGTACTAAAAGTATTTTAGTACGTTAAAAAACCGATTGAATTTGAGAGTTAATTTTAAAATAGAGATGAAAAGCTTGATTTCTATTACTTTTTATCGTTTTTTTAAGGTTAATAAAACACTTCATCAGTCAAAATCTATATTTTGACTCAAGACTTTTTTACTTATCAATACAGAATTATACTTTTGAAATTTCTATTAACTTTGTCTTAAGTTGCTGACTGTTTTATCTCCTGTTGAGGAATTTCTTTGAATGTGAATATCTATTAACCTCCAACACCACGATATTTTCGCTGCGCGTAAAAACTCTGCAGCTGCGGCTAGAATGACTGTATACAAAATGACCTTAGATTTCTTTCTATGCATCTGAGGTCTCTGAAACTTCTGGTTGTATTGTAATAAATTCAACTCGCCAGGACATATCAAATTTATGGTAGGAAAGGGTAAAAAGTTGTAATAAAACAGAATAATAAAAATTTATTGTAATTTATATACACGTATACCTCTTCGATTTCTCTTTCTGTACATCTGAGGTCTCTGAAACTTCTGGTTGTACAGTACTACATTCAATTCGCCTGGATATATCACATTTGTAGTAGGGAGGGGTAAAAAATTGTAATAAAACACAATAATAATAATAGAAATTTATTGTAATTATTACTAATAATAATGTTTATTTAGGAAGCTTAAATTATAATATAGATTTACAAAAAATAAGCATACTTAACACTAAATAAATATGAAAAATCACTGAAATAGAGCTACCATAAAAGTAGCACCCCTTGTGTGTGATACTTAAAAAATATAATGTGCAAAAAAGCAAATATTTAACAAATGTATTAATATAAACAGTTACATATGCGCACTTACAAAAATACATTCATTTTAATATAGCATGTGACAAATTTTTGACCCTGAAGGTCTCATTGCTCCAGTAGTAATTATTGCAAAATTAATAATGAGAAAAATTTGGCTTGCAAAAATTGATTGGGATGACCATCTCAGCTCTGAAATTTTGAAAGAATGGCTCAAATTCATTCAAGGTCTATCTTGCTTGCAGTCACTAAAAATTCCTAGATGTCTTTTCAAAAATAAAAATATTAGAAAGATCGAAATTCATGGCTTCTCAGATGCTAGTATACAAGCATATGCTGCATGTGTATACATTCGTGTTATTTATGATTCTAACACTTTCTCTTGTGCTCTTATCGCCTCTAAAAGCAGAGTGGCGCCTCTCAAAATTGTTAGCCTTCCCAGACTCGAACTTATGGGTGCGGTTATATGCTCAAAACTCACCCAACGAATTGTTAGTACTCTTAAAATCAGAATCCCACAGATTGATTCCATAAATTTATGGAGTGACTCAGAGATTGTTCTAGCTTGGTTAAAATCACCTCCTTGACGTTGGACTCCCTTTGTTGCCAATAGAGTGGCAACAATACAACAAAACTCAGAATTTATCTGGAGGTATGTTAAATCCAAGTAAAAATCCTGCAGATATTTTGTCTCGAGGTATATCACCGTTAGAACTTCCGAACAGTACACTCTGGTTTGATGGTCCACATTTTCTGTCCCAAGTTGATTTAAATCTCACCCTTTTCAATTAAAAAAAAAAACAAAATTAATCACGTTCCAGAGGAAAGAAAATCTCAGATTGTCCATCATGTTCAAGTCTCTCCCTCATTCCTAGATGAACTCATTCAACCATTCTCTTCATTTACAAATCTACAAAGAGTGATTGCTTATTGCTTAAGATTTGCTCATAATACCAGGAAACCATCAGAAAAATTCTCCAACAATCTTTCTGTAAGGGAACTCAAATCGGCTGAACTCGTAATTGTCAAACTCATACAAGATGACTCGTTTTCACAAGAAATTTCCCTTCTCAAAACTAAAAGGCCAATTACAAATAAATCCCTTTTGTCCATGAACCCCTTTCTGGATGAACAAGAAATGTTGAGAGTTGGTGGAAGGTTAAAATATGCTTCTGTACCATTTGACCAAAAGTATCCTCTTCTCTTGCCTTCTAGGAATCAGCTAGTGAAACTTATGCTAAGGAGGGAGCATATTAGATTGTGTCATGCTGGTCCACAATGTACACTCTCCAACTTCAGACTAAAATATTGGCCTCTTGATGCTCTGCGGGAGATCAAAAGAATTGTTCACAGTTGTAAGATATGCTTCCGTTTTAAGGCTCAAACAGCATCTCAGCTGATGGCAGACTTGCCAAGAGAACGTCTAGTGTGTTCGCAACCATTTACAAATGTTGGAACAGACCTAGGTGGACCATACAATCTCAAAACTTCCAAACTTCGTAAGGCTCATGTAACCAAATGTTATATTGTTGTGTTTATCTGTATGGTCACTCGAGCATGCCATCTGGAACTTGTCTCCAATCTAACCACAGAATCATTTCTGCTCACCCTCAAGCGTTTTATCAATAGACGTGGCAATCCCTCTGTCATATTTTCTGATAATGCAACCAACTTTCTTGGCTCCAAAAATCAATTGAGAGAATTTGCTCAATTCTTGCGGAACCAAGACACTCAAAAGTCAATAAAGGATTTTCTCGCTTCCTCTGAGATTACATGGAAATTTATACCTCCTCACTCTCCACATCATGGTGGGATCTGGGAAAGTGTCATAAAAAGTGCGAAGTACCATCTCCACAGGCTTGTTGGCAACCTAAACCTCACGTTTGAAGAATTCTCCACTGTATTAGCCCAGATAGAGGCTGTTCTCAATTCTCGTCCCCTCAGTGCCATGTCCAATCAGCTTGGGGATCTCTCTGTACTCACCCCTGGTCACTTTTTAATAGGGTAAGTGAAATTTCCTCCTCTAGACTAAATCTCTGGGAAAATTGCAAAAAAATCCAACAACTTTTCTGGAAAAGATGGAGCACAGATTACTTGAATAGGTTGCAAAACCGTCCCAAGTGGCTCACCTCGAAACAAAGATATGAAAGTAAATGATCTTGTCTTGTTGAAGGAAGATAATACACCTACCTTATATTGGCCGCTTGCCAGGGTGATTGAGGTCTACCATGGCAGTAATGGCAAGGTTCGTGTTGTTAAAATCAAAACGAAGGATGGAACTTTCACACGTCCCATCACAAAATTGTTTCCATTGCCAGAAGAGTATTCTGTGTAAATATTAGGTAAATGTTACATTGTATTGTAAAGTGTGTTGATTAGCTACTAAGTGTAATATTTTTTAGGGAATAAGTTTACTCACCCATGCATTCTATGTTTAGTTGATAGTTTATTGTTAAGTGTTCTCTAGAATTAGGTTTACAGTAGAATTCATCTTCTGTTAATCTAGTAACTTTGCTCTTGTTGTTGTCTCTTGTTGTTTTCTCTTGTTATGTCGTTAACTATTTTATTATTTGAAGCAATGCTTCAAGGCCCGGGAGTATGTTGGAAAACCAACTAATTCTTTAACTGTTTCAGTTTAACCTAACGCCGCCTCTGTTCCTGAATAACACATGTTAGCCCTTATTAGTTAAAAGAACCAGAAATCTTCAGCGTATTTGACGCCCCTCATACACCCGCTGACCCTTTGTCATTTGCCCAAGCTGGCCACATATTGCATACAAGCATATAAGGGCAGTCGCATTAAGTAGTTCAAGTCAAGAAGTCGCTAAATAAGTTATTCTCTCTCCTCGTTCTCTCTCTCTCTCTCTCTCACCCGTATATATATATATATATATATATATATATATATATATATATATATATATATATATTACAAGTTATATTATAAGTTAGTTTAGTGTTGCAAAGTGCAAGGTGTATATATGTAAAATAGTTTGCAAGTAAAATAAAGCGAAGAAGTAAAGTGTAAGTGTATAATTTCACCCCCACAAGAGTAACAAAACGAATCAGCAACCTACGCTTAAATCCTGTAACAAATCAAGACAGGTCACCACAAGGGTTTTGGTGCTCTCAGGGAACGTTGAAAATAACCCCATCGTTTACCTTTACTATTCTTTACTGTTTTTCAGGGCATGCAAATAGGCCTAACCCTACCTTGAGTATCAACTATCCAGTCTCAAGCATACCCAGCTAGCCGAACTGTATTCAGTTTCAACTTTTATTTTAATTTAGTTTCAAACTTATCTTCACACTACTCTACAGATCTTATAACATCAGGGACCTTGTCTCAAGTGATCTTTGTTACATTAGCGCCCAAAGTGGAGCAACATAATTTTTGTTACTTCGTCCAATTGACTGT